CCCTCCTTCCTTCCTTTTTCTTTCCTCTATTTCCTTCCTCCCTCCCTCCCTCCTTCCTCTTTCATTCCTTCTTCCCTCCCTCCTTCCTTCCTTCCTTTTCCTTTCCTTTCCTTTCTTTCCCTCCCTCCCTTCCTTCCTTCCCTCCCTCCCTCCCTCCTTTCCCTTCTCCATTCTCTCTCTCTTTCACACATACACACAATCCTTTCCTCTTCCTTCCTTCCTGTTCTCTGCCAGCATTCAAGGAAGTTAACAACCTTTCAAAACCCACAGCATTGTCCAAAACATAGAGGCAAAAAACTACTGACACAAAAATGAACCCACAGCTGAAAACCTGAGACCACGGTATCTGTAGGGTGGACAGAGCCCTAAACAGCATTGCCCCATCAGGATCCTACATAGTAGAACCAGGGGTGGGATTCTACCAGTTCACAGCTATTCACTACAACCGGTTGTTAACATTCTAAGCAGTTCGGAGAACCAGTTGTTAGAAGAAATTACTGGCCTAATCCTGTAAGGAAGGCAGGAAGGAAACATTCTGGAGTTGCTTACAGAAACTGCCTCTCCGTTAACCCTTATTACATTCTTGGCAGGACTAGACTTCCTCTCTCTGGAACTTCTCTGGAGTTTCTTTTCCTCCTTTGCTGGTACTTTGCTTGTGTGGAGTGACCATTCAAAATTACAATGGCACTGAAAAAAGTGACTTATGACCGTTTTTCACGGCTGTTGCAGCATCCCCACAGTCATGAGAGGCCAGGCGAGGAGATGCGTGCCTCGATGTGAGTGATATTGAGTTGGCCACACCCAGCCAATAACATGACCACCAAGTCACGCCCACCAACTAAGCCTCGCCCACAGAACCAGTTGTTAGAAACTTTTGCATCCTACCCCTGAGTAGAACCTACCCTATCCAAGCCAACCTCATTGGTGCATGCACTGAGCTAACACAAGCACAGCCCAAAAGAGGCAGAAGTTATGATGCAACAAAGCAAGGAGGCCCACACACACGGCTGCACCCCGTTGCTTTGTTTGGCCCCGTTGCTTTGTTTGGAGTCCACTTTGAGGACTCCCCAGGTGTTTCTTATCCCGTGTCACCTACCTGTTCCCCCCCAAGTTCAATGGGTTTCTCAAACAAGGTCCAGACCACCTCCTCATTGCAACCGGGGGTGGTCAGAGAGCCGGTGTAGCGATAGAAGTTGGTGAGATCCTTCTTGTCCGGGATCAGGGATTCCAGGGCCAAAGCTGGAATGTCAACTTTTCCCCCTGAATAAATGATGGAGACAATTGAAATGTGTTTGAATATATTAGTAGCTCGGGTGGGTTAGTTCGGCTGTTGCTTTGAGCTCCGAGCTGGGCGATTTGGTTGCAAATGTTTCGTCACCATTCGAGGAGACGTTGTCCGTGCACTTTGAGTTGTGCTCGTCTGTCAGAGCACAGGTCTTTAAATACCTTTGCGTGAGATGCGAATTAGTCTGAACCTTGTTTTTTTCAGGTATTTCTGAATCTGATTTCGGATGGTTTGATTGTCTGGCTGTTGGCTGGCAACATTCAGACTAATTTGTATCTCATATAAGGTATTTAGACAGATGACCGACGAGCACGACTCAAAACGCATGGACGTCGTCGCCTCGAACGGTGATGAAACGTTTGCAACCAAATCGCCAAGCTCAGAGCTCAAAGCAACAGCTTAATGAAGAGAATGATTTGTATATCAGATATTCTTTGTGTCAGGATTCCGGGGATTGCCCTCATTGAATCATGAACCTCAAACCAAGCTTCAAAAGAAACCAAAAGATTTATTAGGAGTAACATGTCCAGCATTAACCTGTATTAAGCCAACTCTGGCATACATAATTTACAGTCCCCTGTGACTGTCCCCCCATCCCCCCTGGGTGTGTCATAAATCATATTCTTCAATTAAGAACATTCAGAGGCTGGGTGTCATCAATCATGTTCTCCAATTAAAGATTTTCACACACAGAACAATCTTTGTAAGATAAGTGCTGGGATGTCCTTCTGGTTTTAACATTGCCACATTGCTCCTCCAAATTTCCTCCCCACCCTCCCCATTGATGGCAACTTCGATAACAGTCATAGGGATGCTTTACAAGTTGATACGATGAGTTACAGGTAATCCTTCACTAACAACATTTTGTTTGGTGAACCGTTTGAAAGTGGTCAATATCTGGAATATTCTATCTGACTCTGTCTGGGGTTTTCCCAAACCCCAAAAACTTTAACCTTAGACTGTCTACTATTGACCTCACCCCTTTCCTAAGAGGTCTGTAGGGGGTGTGCATAAGCGCACCAATGTGCCTACCGTCCCTGTCCTATTGTTTCTTTTATTTATTTTTATTTTTCTTATATGTATCCATGTATTCATAACTATGTTTTTACTTATACCTATTATCTTGTAAGCAATTGACAAATAAAAATTAAATAAATAAATAAATAAATATAAATAAATTTTTTTAAAAAGTTACAAGAGCATTGAAAAAAATGACATGATCATTTTTTACACTCACAACCATTGCAACATCCCCGTGGTCACATGATCCAAATTCAGATGCTTGGCAACTGACTCCTATTTATGACAGTTGCGTGATCCCCCTTTGCAACCTTCTGACAAAGCAAAGCCTGATTCACTTAACAACCATGTTACTAACTTAACAACTGGCAGCGATTCACTTAACAACTGTGGCAAGAAAGGTCATAAAATGGGGCAAAACTCACTTCACTAACTGTCTTGCTTAGCAACAAAAATTGTGATGACCCGTAGTCTCTCAAAATAACCCCAAACCCAAAACATATATTAAAGTCCGGTAAAGCCTTCAACTTAACTTCACTGTTTTATTAGGCACAGTTTAAAGTCACAAAAGTAAATAATGAGGCAAACAGAAAACCAAAACAAACCGCATTGATGAGAGTTCTGAAGCAAGCCAAGATAATTAATCATACATTCCAGGAAGATAACCGAGGAGAGTCCATGGGAAGAACGCCAGCAAAGATAAGCCTCTTTCAAGGTGAACACTAAACTTTGACTCCAGCAATTCTGACTGCGCAGTTGCAAACTTATATACATGGCTCCCACCTGCAAGCTAGGAGGAGGATCATGGTAATCTCCTCCTGAGTAGACCTCGCTTTTCCCTGATCCTCTCCTCCCTGCGTGCCCTAGGATGGATAGGGGATGGGCCTGGATCCTCCTCTGATTGCCCAGCCGGCCTCTGCCCTTCCCCAGCCTCCTCCACCACCTCCGGAGCCACACTCCCACTCCCTGTTGGCTGTTCCTCCTCTTCCTCAGAGTCAGTCTCCACCAGGGGCACGACAGAAATTTTAATTGTAAGCTGCTCAGAGTCTCATCTGGAGCTGAGTGGCCTTTAAAATCCAATGAATTACATCCAATGATTAAACTGAAATAAATTCACAGTTGCATTAGGTCTCATCTCCTTACCTTTAGCCCCAATCTTTTCTAAATTTGAAATGAGCGGTTCATAGTTTGGGTTCGTTTTGCCAGCCTGTAACAGAGCAAAGTCATATTAAGAATCGAACCTGGAACATTTTTGACCGGCTCAAGGTTGACTCAGCCTTCCATCCTTCTGAGGTCGGTAAAATGAGGACCCAGATTGTTGATGGCAATATATTGATTCTATAAACTGCTTAGAGTGGGCTGTAAAGCACTGTGAAGCGGTATATAAGTGCTATTGCTATTGTAGGCAAACTCTACCCACTGTCAGGAGTTCAAACGTGACCGGCTGAAGGTCGACTCATCCTTCCAAGGTGGGAAAAATGAGGACTCAGATTGTTGGGAGAAAGTTGCTGACTTACTTTGTAAAATGGCTCAGAGAGGGCTGTAAAAGTTCTATGAAGCGGTATATAAATCTAAGTGCTATTACTAGCTCTATTTGTTGTTTGAAGCAAATACAAAAAGGTGTGTGTCCAGTTTAAGAAAAGCTTTCCTTCCTTCTTCCTTCTTTCCTCCCTCCCTCTGTCTTTCTATGTCCTGCTGTTCTTTTCCCCTCCTCCTTTGGGAGAACACAATGAAAAACAGCTGTTAAACATTGCAAAAAAGAGGAGCCGAAACATTTGGTTGTCCAGGAGAAAGGACTCTAGAACAGTGCTTCAAACTTTGGCAGCTTTTGAGCTGTGTGGACTTCAACTCCCAGAATTCTTTAGCGGGCTGGGGAGTTCTGGGAGCTGAAGTTTTCATAGCTCAAAATTGCCAAGGTTAAAAAACTGTGCTCTGAGACCAAATTGAAAGAGGGCTTTCAGAGGTAATGGGGGTCTCATCCACCACAGGGGTCTCCAAAGAGGTCTGATCTATAGATGCAACCTGCCCTATGTAGGAAGATGGCTCAGTAAAACCACGATGGGTGTGGATTATGGGTCTTATCCTTCAATACAATGGGAAGGCACTGGACGAGACTGGCCCAAGTGAGTTTGTTCTCAATTTTGAAGTTTGGTAAAAAAAAATGAAATGGAACTCAAATCTATTCCATACCTTTATAAAAAATCCCAACACTGCTACGCCTTTTTCTTCGCTCGCTGATTCTATGTTGCCAAATTCCTCCTTAATGTGGACAATGTGAAGCTGTAAGAAAGTCACAGGCTGGATTGACTCAAGTCACAGTGGGTTAAAAAACACTTTTTTTAATAATAAAAGAGAATATTTGTAGATTAGCATTGATGTGGATTAGGATCTGAATTTGGTTGTTTTCTTGCAGATGTTTTACTCAACTAGGGTAACATCAAGAAGTGATAGAAGGGAATGGGGTTTGTGGAACGGAGGAGGAGGAGGAGGAGGAGGAGGAGGAGGAGGAGAAGAAGAAGAAGAAGAAGAAGAAGAAGAAGAAGAAGAAGAAGAAG